TAGGTCTAGATTGACATAAAAGCATTAAAATAATAATTTCTATATCACATGGCTAGCAAGATCATTTCATACTGGTTAGACTGGAGGAATATTTCCGACCATTAATTCCGTGGCTGGCAAAAGAAACTATTCAAGCTACTATGCCTGCAGCCTTCAAGAAGAACTTTCCGAATACTACATGCATAATAGACTGCAGTGAGAGCCTGTTGCAGAAACCCAAAAATCTGGGCTCAAGAGGTGAATCATACAGCCACTATTATTCACACAACACAGTCAAATATTTGGTAGCTGTTGCACCATGTGGACTAATCATGTTTGTGTCTGCGGCATATGGCGGTCGATGTAGTGACAAATTTATCACAATGGACTCTGGAATATTAAACTACCTGAAACCTGGTGATGAAGTCATGGCAGATAGAGGTTTTACAATAAAAGAGTTGCTTTTTGAGAGAAAAGTTAGATTAGTAATTCCTGCTTTCACAAAAAAAAGGGACAGCTAACTGAGGAACAGGTAACATGCACGCGTCGGATTGCAAATGTTAGAATTCATGTTGAAAGAGCAATCCGACGTCTGAAAGTTTACAAAATTTTATCTCAAACTGTTCCCATAAACATGGCTCCTAAAATAGACAAGATTTTGAGGATATGTGCTGCTCTAGTCAATTTGAGAAAGGATCTCATCCGTGACACAGAATAATTTTAATGTACAGATATGTAGGGAGGAAATACCCTGATGCATACTCAAAAATCCAGGTAGAAAAATCTAAAAAAGCCAAGTCCGGTCCTCTACACATTCAAAAAAATGCTTTGGTTTGTTTTGCTTTTTTTGAATGTTCAGAGGACCAGACTTAGCTTTTTTAGATAGGGAGTAAATAATTTCTAGGTTTCCCTTTTTTATATATTATTATATATTTTTATATATTTTATATATTCTCCACATCATGAATGTTTTTGTTGAAAAGCTTACTTAATAGTGTACATATGATGCAATCAACTGAACAATGATTCTTTTTTTTATTCAACCACAATATAACAGTTTCTTCAAATGGCAACAAATGATTTTCTCAAAACAACAATGTACATATTGTCTTGTCTTGGAAGATTGCAAAAAATAGATAACTACTTTGTCATCAACTTCAATTTGTTATTAATTGCCCAGCATGTGTTTAAATTTTGTACATTTTACTTGTGAAATATTCAACAAATTTTCTATTAAATGTCTGCTTTCATTCACAACACAGACTTGAACTCTGACTATATTGATGTCTGGCTGTCAAATTCATAGTTGTCCTTAAGGGCCAATGTACAATACAGCTTGCCCATTATCTTCAAGTATCTGTCATTTAACTTAAACCGTCCTGCAACATACTCTTCTACAAGCCGAGGCAAGAAACATGAGAAGTAAAAGCCTCTCAAGCGGTCTACTTTTTCTTTAACAAATGCCTCATCATATTGCACTGTAAATGAAACATGCTCACTTGGTGTCCAGATCACAAGTGTTGCAGTCTTTAGACGTGTGCAAAACATTGTAAGCTGCACTTGCATGTAATAGCCTCTGCTTCCTGTTTTATGCAGCTGCAGCTCTCCATCTACCAATTTGATGTCGCTGCACTTCTGGGTAAGCTGCTCAGTGAGCGAAGGATGGGTTGGTACAGGACATTTAATTTCTAGCAGCACATCTGAATCAATGACCCCATCAGGACTAGCAGAGAGCCATGGCTCCTGGATGCTGACAACAGTACCCACGTGAATGATGTTCACACCCTGTTCTGTCAGTTGATCACAAGCTCTGATCTCATTTTCTTTACCGTAGTTTGTGTCATAATTACCACGAAAGGAGGAGTACAGGTGCTCCGATAAAAACTTGTCATTTTTTGTGGTAGCACGAACTGGAACTTTTTTTGCAGTGCTTGCTGTGAGTCTGATTTTTCTACAGTTGTGCCACAAATCTGATGCACTTTGTTCTTTAGTTTTTTCTTGTAATTGTGATGCTTGCTGTTCAGAAACTTGAATATATGCCAGATAGAATGCCCTGCATGGATTACAGCTAAGATCACCACTGTGTGCTTGGTGTGGCAGAAAAAATTGCTGATCAATTGTGCTGTTGCAGTGAGGTTCTGCTGATAGTGAGGCATTGTAACACTTTCCAATTAATGTGTTCTTGAGGAGAAACAGTGGCTTCATTGGCGCTTTGCTAACACTGTCTTTGAAGTCTTGGTGTGTATGATGATGTGGCGTGTTTGGGAGTGATTGTGTGACTGCAGCCCTTGAGTTGATGTTATACTGCTGCTCTGCCTTGTGGTGTCTGAAGTTTATCATGCTTAGACGTTTGGGTTGAAGATTCTTTGCTGTCCCAGCATTCCACCTGCGCTGCTCATCTGTACATGCTAGCCCCGTCTTTCCACTGATCACAGCATTCTGGACCTGTAACAATTTAACAGACTTCAGCTATCACTGCTCCTAATAAAATGAAACAAGTTATTTACATCCCTGCTGTTGTCATTTATTTTTTCCTTTTCTGTAAATGTTAGGTTGCCTTGCATCCAGTCTGTACTTTTTTAAAAACAAATAATATAAAAATACTGTACAGCCTTTTTAATGTTTAATTTTTTTGTGACAGTAGATCACAGGCTGCACAATGCTCTGGCTTCCACATGTAAACACAGGCAGACAGGAAGCTCACAGCTTTCGCCCAGTTCAGTGATTCTGGTTCAGTGATGTAAATATTCTGATATCCAGATAAGTGATATACCTTCCACAGAATAGCTGCCGCATGACTGCATGATTTTCCCAATCCGGCGATACAGGAACAGCCGACCGTTTCTACCACTCCACTTTCTCTGAGCATGACCCATGCTAAGTGTTTAGCTTGACCAACGCTCTGGCTCGGCTCAACAGCTGCTTTCAGAAAGATAAAGTCGCCTTGTTTCTTGAGCAAAACTGTATCTATTTTGTTGCTGTGGAGGTAATTATACGCCTCTGTGCTTTTATAATTCCGCAATTCCTCGCCATCGACGCCTTCAGAAAAAACAAGGTAATTAATAATATCGATGTAGGTAATTCCGGGCCATGATTTCATATCATCTACCCAGTCCGTGAGAAATGATGGGTGAGACACAGTTAACGACTTATCTTCGCAGCTTTTTAAAACATCCTTGCAATGTATCCACCTCTGATGTGCTGCCATTTACTTCAGGTAAAGGAAACTTTTGTGTCAAAAACATTAAATTGCTAGCAAGTGTGTTAACCCACAAACGTAAACAACAGCGCGGGATCGCGGGCGGAAGTAAACAACCGGCTTCCGCTATGAATTATGGGTAGTGGCGCCAAATCCGGAATAAGGTGGATACATCACCATGCAGGAGGAGGGCGCTCTGCATCACGAAGGACTCCACTCATCCTGCACACAGTCTGTTCCAGCCCCTCCCCTCAAGCAGGCGGCTGAGGAGCATTCAGAGCAAGACCACCAGGCTCAGAAACAGTTTCTTCCCTGCAGCTGTCAGACTGATGAATTCGAGCTGCACTTAATTCAGCTTCACAAGCAAATGTGAGCTGGAATTACAATAAAAATCCTAGAATCCTTGAGAAACAGAGCCTCATCATTCCTAAAGGATTTTGTCTTTTCAGATTATTTACAGCTCACTGAAACATGAAAAAATATCAGTTTATTTGAACCACACATTATCTTTAATAATAAACTTTCATTCAGAAGCAGATTTAGCATTATGGCAGTAAAACTTCTGACAGTGGAGTTGAGGTTCGGTACATGTTCTTGTGAGCGACTGGACAATCTTGTGGAAGTCTTTGTTGAATTAGTGCTTTGTTCTTGAAGGATCCATTTGAAACTGCAGCCCATTGTTTAATAATCTGAACCATGCAGGGACTAGTTCAAAGGTCACTCTGAGGTAAATCACGTGCTAGTTTTTATGTTACCACAGTTATTAAATCATGTAAAGTCAAAGAACATTTACTTGTGTGTCTGTGTGACACTACTAGAGTTTTTATGAAGGCTAGTTGATCTTTGCCTTTTCCTCCCTGAAGCAGGATCGGCCTATTCTGCTCATAATTACTTATTACTGCTCACAACTGTAACAAAAGTCACATTTATGACAAGTTTATGAAACAGCAACACATTTCAGCCATGTTTTGTAGCTGACGTGTTAATGCAGAAGTTACTTTTTAAGATGTTTTGTTTTTCTTGTTGTGGTTCAATCTGCTTTTGTTAAACAAGCGGAGCAGTCAGGAAGTGCACTGACCAATCAGCAGCTGCCTTACATCTGTTCTGGGAGCAGGGCCAGTCTGAGCCCAGCTTCTATCCCAGTAGTGGAGCCAGACAGGCCGTGCTCTGAGCTGGGTGAGTGCTGACAGGACTGTCCTCCATGTTTTACTAAGCACAGACACAATCACAGAGTTTTTAGTCATGCAGCCACAGAGGTAAGCCTGGCTTTTGTTTTCTCACATGTATTTCCTGATAAGGCACCAGTGACTGTGTGTGATGCATGCCTGCCTGATAGTACATGTTTGTATCAGACTGGAAGGAATGGCCACCCCAAAGTGCAAGAGGAGGGTTTGGAGAGTGTTTAAATGTGTTGCAGTGTTGTAAAGCTCTGATTGGCTGGTTTTATGGATATATACAGCAGATGGACAAGTGTAAAGTTCATTGTGTTCTTAGTTTAAATACTGTCCACCTTTGTTCAAATTCAAAACAACAGACTGGGCCTGACCTGTGGTATGGCCTGTGAGGGACGCAGACAGGATGGAGGAGACGGGGAGCAACAGAGAGGAATTAACAGATAATACAGCAAGTTAGAGTTAGGCCTTGAACTGGAATGAAAGTAAGATAGACACTGCTGTTCATTGTTAGATTAACAAAGCCACAAAGACCAGTATCCAAACCTGAAATCCCAGTTTGCACCAGTAATACACAGTTTTGTGTCCGAGCAGAATTAGTCCTGCCAACAGTTCCAGAATACCATTTACTGACTGACCAAACAACGTCTTGCAGCTTCCAGGATTAGAGGAACAGTCACAGCATGATGATTTACTTTGCCTCCCAGAGTTGCTCTAAATTGCTGGGAGTCGGCCATTTTAAAAAGCTTCCCCCTTTCTGCCCCTCTCCTCCAAACAGAACTGGCTACAAGGATGAAGGGAAGAAGAAGGGAAAGACTTCCTCTGGAAAGCTCTCACAGAAACCCTTATCTCATCCAGAGAGGCTGGAACATCCTCACAGAAACCAGTCAAGTTAGACTGAATTCTGTATGATGATCTTACTTATTTACCATTTATGACACATTTTTGTATTTTTATTATGGCCTTCACATTTTTAGTATATTACAGGTAGAATGGATTTATAGCAGAGCTGATTTAGAATCGAACCATGCCTGACTGTTGCAGGGGACTGTAATCTTTAATTCACTACTTGTATGTGTTGATGGTGCTCCTGTGACCACACCAAAGTTTAGGAACTGATGCCGGTAGCTATACACACTGAGCATTTTTAGTTTGGGTAATGTCACTTTGTGGTTTATTTAACACAATTTACAGTCTGGTCAGCAACAAAAATAGTCTAAAACAGAGGGGAACGTTTTTGAATCACTGTGTGACCTTTTCACGATTTCAGAGAATGTTATCCCACATTTTCCTGCCTGCACAGGTCTCAGTTTTAAAGGATAGTTTATAAAATGCTTCCTCTGCTCTTAATTTGTATGCAAACTTTGTTTAAATCCATGCACTGAAGCACAGGTTCAGATGGATGTTGGTCATAAAAAGATGCAGCTTTGTTCTCGGAGCTGTGTGACGTCACGCCCTCTGCACAGATTTCCTGCCAGCTATAAATATGGCTGCACAGCAAAGTGAAGAAGCTTTGATCAGGGTTTCAGCTGTCTGGGAGGCCTGTGACGTTCTCAGCCTCGTCTTTTTGTCCCCTGCTTTGGCTAGTGCTTCACGTGCACATGCTGAGGCTCTTAATAAGCAGCATGTTGTCCTTTGCAGCCGATTAGCATGGTGCTGTGTGTGCAGTGAGAGAGCGTGAGAGACAGAGAGAGGGAGAGAGAGGGGGGACTGTGTCTTCAAAATGGATGCCATACACACACACACACACTGGCTGTCAGTGAAGCAAGGGGGAGTCTGATTTTTCTGTCAAGCCAGTAGGGCTGAATACAACCTTTTTTTTTAAATCACAAAGCCATTATACGTACGGGACAGGTTTTAAGGAGGCAGTGAGCTTAAATCTGAAGACATCTGTGGCCACAGGATGGATCAGTCCTCTCTGCATTGCAGCACTATGGTTGAGGAAAGCGGGGAGATGAGAGCCACTGAGCTGAGCACCCAATCAGGTACCTCCGTGTGGTACCCGAGCCAATCGGCAGCTTGCAGCCGAGGTTAAAGATTGACAATTGCAGGGGAGAACAGCAGGGAGAGAAGGCCCTCTGAGAAACCTGGACCCATCTTTTTCCTCATCCCTCAACGTCCTCCAGAATTGATACAGATGAAAGAATAGGGTGAAGATTCTGTGTGTCAGACGAGACAAAGGTACGGTGTCCATTTCCTTCAGTGAGGTGTGATTGTTGTGGAAATGGTGGGTGTGGGCAGGGCTGTATCAGTAAGTTTGAGCATCAGATGTTCTATATGTGAATGAAAGGATATTTTATGTGTGTATGTGTTGATTGTCTTCATCTCTGTCCTATTTTTGTATGTTTTGTTCTATGTTTGCTCTGATCAGAGCAGCCAGTGGAGTAAAGATGTTTAATTGAGGAGGTCCACAGATTTTATTATTATTGTTTTTAGATGGATTTTGTTCAGATGTGCTGTCTGACTGCCAAGCACGTGAAAGTATTTTCACTGGAAGGGTGAAAAAATGAAACATAAACGTGTCTGTGTCAAATGTTCGCAGCAGCATGTTTGTCAGTGTGATTTTTGGAGCTTCACAACAATTACTCTAAAGGGAACTGGTACACACAAAAACTAAAACACGAACGACCTTGCTAACCTGAACAAGTCTTTGGAAACTTACAGGATCTTTTAAGACAGAAAAGGTTGATTTTGCAGAAATTATATCACAAAATATCAACAACAATGGAAGGTTGTATTAACGTGTTTTAGATTGGAGGAAAAAAGCACGTTTTTATCCATTAATGAAGTTTATGCTGTGGCTTACAGAGTCATAAAATTAGTAACAATTAAAACCTACATTTGACCATGTCTTCACTCTCTGACATCATCTTACTGTCCGGTGTCCACAGAATGCTCTCCCTGGTGAAACCATAAGACAAAACATAATGTATAAATTTAAAAAGCACAGGATCTTTGTTTTATTGTCTACAAAAATCACAAAATGCAAACAATGACGTGCTCTCAGTCAGCCTGCCCAACAGGTTGTTGTTTGTGTCCGACCCGCACCGTTCAGCTCGGTGTTCTCATGATCCTGTTCTTATTGTTCTGATTTCCTCTGAAACTAGAGCGGCTGCTGTCATCATGGACCTGTTCAGGTCATTTCCAACTATTTACACTGGAAAAATTAATCTACTGTTTTATTCCCACTCATAACAAAAACACCAGATTGCAATATTTCATCCATCCATTCTTTATCTTAACACGCTTCTTCCTTGTCGGGTCGCGGGGGTCACAGGTGCCCACATCAAGCTATCACTGCGTGGGTGGTGGGGGACACCCTGGACAGGTCTCCAGTCCATCACAGGGACACATAGAGACAAATGTGACAAACAACCCTCTCCTTTTTTGGTAGAATTTAAAAAGACTGGAGTTTTTTTTGTTTGTTTGTTTTTGTTATTAAGAAATTGTGACAATTTGAAGAATGCATGAGGTGCATGAGGTTTTATACGTTTAAGGTAATTCGTTGAAAACATGAATTTAGAATAAATCATTACTCTACTAGAGGCGTAGATGGCTCAGTTGGTAGAACTGCCGCCTCTCAGCGATAGTCACCTGATCGAATCCCAGGCCATTCCAGGTGGAGTTTGCATGTTCTCTCCGTGCATGCGTGGGTTTTCTCCGGGTACTCCAGTTTCCTCCCACAGACCAAAAACATGCATGTTAGGCTGATTGGTAACTCTAAATTGTCCCTAGGTGTGAGTGAGAGAGTGAATGCAATAATGATCAATCAGGTCATCTGGACAGTTTCTTTTTTTATGGAAAGACGTTTCACCCTCTATCTGGAGGGCTTCATCAGTTTGAGGAGTCCCAAGTAAACTGTTTTCCCCACTAAGCAATATAGTCCTTTAGTGGACCAACTAGTTTACTGGTGATAAGATGGGTTCTGTGGGCTGTCTTCTCCCCCGTCGTCTCCTCCCAGGCAGGCAGCCACAGTCAAAGTGGTTCAAGACATCAAAGTTCATGCTCAATCATCCAGGTACAAAACTGATGAAGACTGATGAAGCCCTCCAGATAGAGGACGAAACGTCTTCCCACAAAAAAAGAAACTGTCCAGATGACCTGATTGGCCATTTATTGGATTTTGTACCTGGATGACTGAGCATGAACTTTGATGAGAGAGTGAATGGTTGTTTGTCTCTATGTGTCCCTGTGATGGACTGGAGACCTGTCCAGGGTGTCCCCTACCTCTCAAACAGTGACTGCTGGATATGGGCACCAGTGACCCCTGTGACCCCAAAAGGAACAAGCGGATAAAGATGATGGATGGATGGATGGATGGATGGATGGATGGATGGATGGATGGATGGATGGATGGATGGAAGGAAGGAAGGAAGGAAGGAAGGAAGGAAGGAAGGAAGGAAGGAAGGAAGGAAGGAATGAATGAATGAATGAATGAATGAATGAATGAATGAATGAATGAATGAATGAATGAATGAATGAATGAATGAATGAATGAATGAATGAATGAATCCAAATGGGGCATGGTTAGGATCTCTATTGCAGATGGGGCTTCTAGGAGCTGTGGCCTGAAGGTCATTGGTCATTTCTTCAGCAGACCTGGTGTAAATACAAACTTCTGTGAAGGTTAAGGAGATCATTCAGTTGTTAGAATCAGTGTGTTAAAGTAGACTGGAGCAGTGTTTAAATATACGAGTGCAGCCCATGATTTAATTATTTTTGAAGACAACAGTGACAAAGACACATGAAGACAAACAGATTTTGGTTATATTTAAATGAAAAATGAATCTGTTTATGTACAGGCTGCTATTTAATACACAGTATTATTTTATATTATTAGTGTTTAGCGTATATCTTAGATCTTTTAGCATACCGTTTAGTGTTTATTTAGCATATCTTAGATCCTTATTTACTGTTTCTTTTTATACTTTATATTTTTGCTATTTTTGGGTGTAACTGGGACCTTGAGTACACAATTTTCTTCCTCCTCATGCGCCACATGTGATGAGAATGACAATAAAGAAACTTGAACTTGAAAATGTAAGTTGGCTGCATGCTACAGTCAAGCTGCTGCTGTTCAGGGCAGACAGGACTGAAGGAGGAGAAGCAGTTGATGCTTTGTAACAAAGTTTAGCCACACTGGTTGCTGCTGTCATCTGGCATTAAAGAGAAATTGTAAGATTTCTGCTCATTTTCTTCCAAAAAAATTACAGACGTGCATGCACCATTATAACAATCATACATTTAAACTGCTGTAGTTCGTTTGAGCAGATAAATTGTCTGTGGAAATCAGTTTTTATTGTTACATTATTTATTTTTCACCCTCTAAACACAGTTGATCATTCCATCATTTAAGACCAAATCAGCTTGCGTCTTTTTGTTTTGGGACTTTGTCGGCTCACATCATGTTAGTTTAATCATCAAACAAGTTCAAGTAGAAGCAAGTTTGACTTTGTTTGAAATAATATTTTATAAGTTGAAGTGCTTATAATTTGCTGTGTGATACTGGTTGTGCAGTCATCTGCTACTGGTCCTGGGATGGACTCTTGAAGGTGTGAAGGCTGTATTCAGAAGATATAAAAACTGGTTTCTTATGGTAAAATAGTTCAAAGACTAACCGGTTAACTATATTTTCCATGCCCTTTAGTGTCAGACTAATTTGCTACATTTGTAAGCAAGCCATCTATGCATTAAGTATTTTAAATTATAGTATATTCTCTTCCAAAAATGTTTTATTTCTAAATACCAAAACAAATAATTAACAGGGTAAATCTCCAGTTAACATTCACATTTAGCTGGTGAACTACTAACACTGCTCTCTGCTCACCAGTGTGCCAGAGGAGGAAAAAACAGAAAAAGAAGCTGCAACAGAAGAAATGGAGATCTCCACAAGATCCAAAGGTAAGACAATACACAGCTAAATTATTTTAAAATAAATATACAAGTAAGTCGGAGTCGAGTTATATCACAGTGTCAAAAAGTCACTGTGTCAAAACCGATAAAGGTTCCTCTTATACTGTTCCATACACTTTTTTTTTTTTTTTACCACTTTCTCCTTTTTGGGTCCTGGGAGCTGATGTCTGTCTCCAGCTCACTGTGGGAGAGGCATGGCACGACCTGGACAGGTCACAAGTCCATCACTGGGCCTAATGCTGTTTCTGCAGGTTGAGGTGCCAGAGGCAGTGCGGGTTTGGAGCAATTAAATCTCCTGAACTTACCTCTTCTCAAAATTAAGACAAAGTCAGTTGTTGGACAGTTTTTCTGAAATAAAAACCCACAGACGGTCAAGGCTCAACCACCAAAGGATCAACACCCGTCACTCTTTTTAAAACAGTAATGAAATGTTTGCAACAAGCTGTGAGATTTGAAATAAACAGCCTGCTGTGGACTCAATATAATGCTACAAATAAACTAGCTAAAATCAGATTGTCAGGGATTCATTTTAAGAAAAAATATGTCGCACAAGATTTTATTAACATGTTCAAAATTCAAGCGACAAGACAAGTGCAAGTCGCAAAATGCAAGCGTTTGTATCTCTTGCAAGGAATTTGAGAATTCTCATGAATATTTTGAGGCATTTTGGAAACTCCCTTGCAAAAGTTGTTCATTAGTTAGCTGCAACAGTCATAGCTCAGTGAGATATTGGATTAAAGGTATGCTGCAGGGACTTTATTTATGTGCACCACCAACAAAAAATCTTTACACAGTGAACAAAACCTTAAAATGTAGCTGTATGTTTTGGACCTGAGTTCATTCCAAAGTTGCTGAGTGCAGTTGGGAAGATGTTCAGTGGTCTGGCAATTTAAACATTGTAACATACTTTGTATATGAGCAAATGGAGGAAGAAGGGTGATACTTGCTCCTCATTTTACTACACTTTTATTATTTGTTTTGTAGCAGGGCACCAGCCGATCAATTTACTGAACAGCAACAACTTAATTAATGTATTCACCCTTTAGTTATCAGAACTCAGTCACTGAAGTAGAATCTGTTAATTACTCCTCAGATAAATAATGTTATTAACTTTTATGTACATGGATGTTTCTGTGCAGTGCCCTGAGATGACTTCTGTTGTGACTTGGTGCTATATAAAGAAACTGAAATGAAATGAACTGAATTGAATTGAATTACAGGGAATTTTACACCATAACAAATGAATATCCATCCTAAGGAGTAGACCAAATTTGCCTTTGAAAAGTTTTATTGCAAAAATAATTGATCAAACTAAGAATCATCAACAATAATAAACAAATTGAACAACACAAAAAAATAATAATAATTAGGACAATAGTGTGAAAAAGTTAATTATTGAACAGTAATGAACATTATTCGAAGACCACGGGGAAGGAAACGTGTCAGGAAATAGAGGGAGAAGAGGAAAGTCAAGAATGTAGGAATGAGGGCGGCAACTCTTGATGTGGGGACAATGACAGGCAAAGGTAGAAAGCTGGCGGACGTGATGCTGAGAAGGAAGGTAGCTGTTTTATGTGCCCAAGAGACCAAGTGGAAATGGCAGCAAGGCTTGAAGCATTGGAGCAGGGTTTAAACTGTTTTATCATGGTGTGGATAGAAAGAGAAATGGAGTAGGTGTGGTCCTAAAGGAGGAGTTGGCAAAGAATGTAGTGGAGGTGAAAAGAGTGTCAGATAAGGTGATGTGTCTGAAGGTAGAAGTAGAAGATCTGATGCTAAATATTGTCAGTGGTTATGCTCCACAGGTTGGGTGTGATGTAGATGAGAAATATACATTTGGGAAGAATCTGGATGAAGTGATGGAGAGTATTCCCAGGGAAGAGAGAGTGGTGATCAGAGCAGACCTGAAGGGACATGTTGGTGAAGGAAACAGAGGGGATGAAGAAGTGATGGGTAGGTTTGGTGTCAAGGAAATAAACCAGGAAGAACAGATGGTGGTGGATTTTGCCAAGTGGATGGAAATGTCTCTAAACAACACTTATTTCCAAAAGAGGGAGGGACGTAGAGTGGCCTATAAGAGTGGACGATGGAGTACACAGGTTGACTATATTCTCCTCCATACTGCCTTCTCCAGGTCTTCAGGCACCCTTATATTCCCTCCATCATCACCCACCCTCACATATCTGGCCTGCTGGGTGAGAAGGATGCTGAAGTGTTTCTTCATCAACACTACATTCTGTGTAGAAGAAGAAACCTGAGAGAAATCGGAGACTGTAAGGTTGTGGCAGTGGAGAGCGTGGCCAGACAGCATTTGATGGTTGTGTGTAGAATGACTGTTGTTGTGAAGAAGAGAAAAAGAGTAAAGTCAGAGAAGAAGACCAAATGGTGGAAGATGAGAACTGAAGAATGTTGTGAGAAACTCAGAGATTAGCTGTTAAAGGCTCTGGGTGGTAAGAAAGAGCTTCCAGGTGACTTGGCTACTACAGCAACAATAATTAGAGAGACCGGTAGGAAGGTACTTGGTGTGTCTTCTGTACAGAGAACGGATGATAAGGAAACCTGGTGGTGGAATAGTGACGTGCAGGAAGATATTCAGAGGAAGAGGTTAGCCAAGAAGAAATATGACAGTGAGAGGATTGAAGAGAGGAGACAGGCATTTAAGGAGATGCTATGTAGAGCAAAGAGGGAGGTATTTAAGGCAAAGCAGAAGGCATGTAATGAGTTGTATGGGAGGCTGGACACTAAAGAGGGTGATAAGGACTTGTACCGATTGGCAAGACAGAGGGATCAGTCTGGAAAGGATGTGCAGCAGGTTAGGCTTATTAAAGATAGAAATGGTAATGTGCTAACAAGTCAGGAGAGCGTATTTTGAAACTCCAAAATGCATTACAGCAAAGACTGGTTCATCCCAAAGATCCAGTCCCCCAGTACAAACAGAGTAATATTGTGTATGCTGTTCAGTGTCAGGAGGGCTGTGATCAGTCTTACAACGGGGAAACTAAACAGCCACTGGCCAAAAGGATGGCCCAGCACAGAAGATCAACACCATCAGGCCAGGATTCTGCAGTCTACACTCATCTCCAGGCCAGCGGTCACTCTTTCAGGGATGAAGATGTTCACATCCTGGACAGAGAGGAACGATGGTTAGAGAGAGGAGTGAAGGAGGCCATTTTTGTGAAAAGAAATCGTCCATCATTAAACAGGGGTGGAGGCCTCCGTGTTCAACTGTCCGCCTCTTACAATGCTGTTATTGTTAGTATCACTCAGCCCCCTGTGAATAGTAAACAGCCATCAGTGTGCTAATGATCCATCATTAGGCTGATGGTCCTCCTTGATCATGTGAGCAGCTGGTTTTGGTTGTCAGCAGCAAACTGGTTGATCCACTCTGAGAAGGTGCTATTTATAAGACTGAGCTGAATACAGCTCCTCAAACTGAGGAAGTCTTTCGGATGAGAGACGAAACGTTTCTACATTTTTGTTGTTGTTTTGCTTTGTTTTGTTTTTTGAATGTCCAGAGGACCAGAGTTTACTTTTTTAGAGTTGGGTTAATGATTGGATGAGGAGCAGGTGTGATATACAGATTAGTGTCTGGGAGCTGAGGAACAGTGACTATGAACATGAAAATACAAAACCCTTCTTGCCTGGATAAACTGATCACTAACACACTGACAGAAACAATATTTATCAAAACATGCTGACATGGTGATACAGAAGCACAAATCATAAACCCCAAGCTCCTGAATTCTGACAAGAACCTGCACACCATTGAAAGTGTGCAACAAGCAGAAACAAAAATAACAATGTAGAAGAGCTAAAGTTTTTAAGCACATCTGGTTAGACAGACTCCATGCTAAACAGATTTAGATATAAATCTGTGTTTTTCTGGTATACACATTAGAAGCTTGAGTATTTAACTTCAACTGTTTTATTTATAGTTTGAGTTCAGCAAAACTCACGTGTGCCCACTTTTTGTACTTTAGGAAACTATATTTGTTAGCTTTTAAATACTTTTTTTTTTTTACATTGACATTTGTCTGTTTTAGATGCTGGAGCAACAGAAAAGACGGCCCAAAAGAGAAAGATTTCCAGTCCTTCTCACTCATCCAATGGTCACTCCTCCGCTGAAACTTTGCCCTGCACAGTAAAAAAGAAGAAGAGGCCCGGAGCCGTTAGCAGCAGCAAAGACCAGGTACAAATTTACTTACTCAAATGAAGAAAATAAACTCTGGTTGAACTTTTTTAAATTACAAAAGAAGTTTTACATTTTGTAAGGTTCTCCTCTTTCATTTGTGATTCATAAGTTAGACTGTTTTTATTTTGATGATGCTACATGAGAGACAAATGCTGATCAGACATCTTGTTTTGACGATCTACTTTAACATTGAGTATATCCAACCTTTGCTGCCAGTCCGTGCATGGACAAAGAGCAAAAGAAGAGCAACAAATATCCAGATGTTAGACCCAAATTCTTTAAGAACTGGATAGTTGTAGCACGGTTAGAGGCAAGGCTCAGATGGTTTCAGACATAAGCAGAAGTGAATATATAGCGTTAGACAAAGGATGCTGAACTTTAAGCTGCTGGGGAGGAGGGACAAGAAGACCACAGAGAAGCTTAATGGATGTAATGAAGGATTCAAAAAGTGTTCAATACAAAAACAACTGGACTTTATTTGTAACAGAAGACGTTTCGCTCCTCATCCGAGGAGCTTTCTCAATGCAAAGAGCAGTGAGTGAGGGATTCAGGTTATAAGGCTGAGTGAGATAAGACACACACACATATGTCTGTAGATTGGCAGTTCACACCTAAACACCTTAACAGTAGGTCTTTGTTCCTCTAATTCACAGATGAGACCCCTCTGTTCCCATCAAGTGTGAAAACCAGCTGGGAGTCAGTCTTAAAGTTGCATTATATGTTTTTGAAAGTGGAAATCTGAGGCCTCCTCCTCTGTTAACAGACTCTCTCTTTCTCCTCTGTTAAGACTTTCTCTTTTTACATAAATTGCTTCCTTCACTCCCCTCTCAAACCATCTGTGCTCTCGGTCCAAAATATGCACATTTTGGTCCTCAAAAGAGTGTCCCTTATCTGTGAGGTGGAGATGAACAGCTGAATCTTGTCCAGAGGAGGTGGCTCTTCTGTGTTGAGCCATGCGTCTGTGAAGAGGCTGTTTAGTTTCTCCAATGTAGAGGTCTGGACAGTCCTCGCTGCACTGAACCGCATACACTACACCACTCTGTTTGTGTATGGGTGTTTTGTCCTTAGGGTGGACCAGCCTCTGTCTGAGAGTCCTGCTGGGTTTGAAATGTACTGGGATGATGTGTTTGTTGAAAATCCTTCTGAATTTCTCTGATACTCGAGCAACATAAGACTATAGACTTTGCAACACGAGGCAATAACACGCTGGATCAGGTCTTCACCACACGGAGAGGAGCTTACAAAGCCCGGGCCCTCCCCCACCTTGGTGCTTCTGACCATCTGACTGTGATGTTAATGCCAGCATTCAGACCACTGGTTAAAGTCAACAAACCAGTTCTGAAGCAGATACGAGTGTGGCCTGAGGGCTCATCTGAGGCACTCCAGGACTGTTTTAGCACCACGGACTGGAATGTGTTTAAAATGGCTGCTACTCACAACAACTTCACTGACATTCAGGAGTACACAGAAACTGTCTCTGCTTATATCACAAAGTGCATTGATGATGTAACTGTCCTGAAGACCATCACCATCCGTGCTAATCAGAAGCCATGGCTGACAGGAGAGGTCCACAAGCTGCTGAAGGCTAGGAATGCTGCCTTCGCCGCTGGAGACCAGGCAGGCCTGAAGACAGCTAGGGCCAACCTGTCCAGAGGCATTAAAAAAGCTAAGAGGCAGCACTCCAAGAAAATAGCCCAACACTTCAAGGACAGCAGAGACTCTCGGAGCCTGTGGCAGGGAATTCAGTCCATTACAGACTACAAACCCTCTCCACAGACCTGTGACAGCACCCCCTCCCTGCTGAATGACCTGAACAGGTTCTTCGCTCGGTTTGAGGCACAGAATGGCACACCTGCACAAAAAGCCACCCCCCCTCCTGGAGACCAGGTGATCACACTGTCCCCGGACAAGGTGAGGAGAGCATTCAGCAAGACCAACGCTCGGAAAGCTCCTGGTCCCGACAACATACCTGGTCGCGTGCTGAAGGACTGCGCTGGCGAATTAGCAGAGGTGTACTCTGACATCTTCAACACCTCACTGAGCCAGGCTGTGGTCCCCACGTGCTTCAAAACCACCACCATAATCCCTGTCCCCAAGAAAACGTCTCCCTCCTGCTTCAACGACTACCGCCCGGTTGCACTCACTTCCATCCTCATGAAGTGCTTCGAGCGACTAGTCATGCAACACATTAGGTCCTCCCTCCCCCCCTCCCTGGACCCCTACCAGTTTGCATATCGGTCAAACCGCTCGACTGATGATGCCGTCGCCACTGCTCTTCATTCAGCCCTCACACATTTGGACAAGAAAGACACCTATGTCAGAATGCTCTTCATCGACTTCAGTTCTGCATTCAACACAATCATTCCACAACAACTCATCTGGAAACTGGACAGTCTGGGTCTGAACACATCACTGTGCAACTGGCTGCTTGACTTCCTTACCGGAAGACCACAGGCAGTACGGGTTGGCAGCAACACATCCAGCATCATCACTCTGAACACGGGGGCCCCACAAGGATGTGTGCTGAGCCCCCTTCTGTTCACTCTACTAACCTACGACTGCTCTCCATCACACCCCTCCAACCTCTTCATCAAGTTTGCGGACGACACGACTGTGGTAGGCCTCATCAGCAATAACGATGAGTCACTCTACAGGAGCGAGGTGAGCCGGCTGGTCTCCTGGTGCAAACGCAACAATCTCTTGCTGAACACAGAGAAGACCAAGGAGATTGTTGTGGACTTCAGGAGAACTCAGACAAAACATGCTCCACTATCCATCAACAGTGTTGTTGTGGAAAGGGTGAGCAGCACCAAGTTCTTGGGTGTGCACATCTCTGAGGACCTCTCCTGGACCATCAACACAGCAGCAGTGGCCAAAAAGGCTCACCAACGGCTCTACTTCCTCCGCAAGCTGAGAAGAGCGAGAGCCCCCACCCCCATCATGACAACCTTCTACAGGGGGGCCATCGAGAGCATCCTGATGAGCTGCTCCACTGTGTGGTACGGGGCCTGCACAGCATCCTGCCGCAAATCCCTCCAGCGGATCGTGAGGACAGCTGAGAAGATCATTGGCACCTCTCTCCCCTGCCTTCAGGACCTCCACAGCTCTCGCCTCAGAAGTAAAGCCCTCTGCTGGGTGGGAGATCTTGACCACCCGCTACACTGCTTCTTCAACCTGCTGCCATTAGGGCGAAGACTGCGTAGCCTCAGTTCTAGGACCAGCAGACTGTGGAACAGCTCCGTCCATCAGGCCGTGAGGATGCTGAACTCTCTGCCTGCCCCCCCTCAGCCCCCTCTCCCACTTCCCCCCCCCTCCCCACACTAACCCAGCTTCCCGCCACCCCCCCCCCCGCCCCCCCCCCCCCTTCAAAACTGCTCTGGGACATTTATTTAGTTTTATGAATAGTTCATGAATCGGTCACTTTAACAGCCTACAAGCTCACTCTACTGTTTATTGCATTATATTTTGCACTACTGTTATGATCAACTCGTCCTGTTTATTCTTTATTCTGGTAATTCTGGTATTGTCATTTCCACTTAATCACCTCATCAGTACATAACTGTGACTATATAGAACCGGTATGCACACCTTCACTTTACTAAGTTTCTCAGGTTTATACTTTATATTGCACTATTGTTTACTCTGGCCTTGCACATCCATTATCTACCTCTCATCATGTTATTGTCTTCAGTCAGCGTCCCTTTGTCTCCTGTTAGTCACTATTGAGCACGTTGCATCAGAGGTCCTGCTGCTGTTCACTTTTATATTTTTTTATATTTTTTTATATAACTAGTTGTGTTAGTTTATTTTTGCTAATGTTGTTGTTTGCTGCAAATTGAGTAGGAGTGTAACGCAATTTCAATTTCTATGTATGTCCTGTACATATGCAGAATTGACAATAAAAATCAATCAATCAATCAATCAATCAACATAAGGGATGACAATGTTTTTACGTCTGTTGTTCTCCTTTTTCTGTTTATTAGTGTGTTTTGTAGATTTCCTCGCTGACTTGACAAAAGCCCATGTTAGGATATCCACATGTTTGAAGAGCTTCTTGAATGTGTTTCTGTTCCTTTTCCTTACCTTCTGTCTTCGTGGGGACGTGTTCGGCCCGATGCTGTAAAGTTCTGATGACAGAGAGTTTGTGTTCCAGTGGATGGTGGGAGTCAAACAGAAGATACTGGTCTGTGTGGGTTGGTTTTCTGTAAACTTCAATGTTGAGGCTGTCCTCTCTTTCCATCTGAACCAAACAGTCCAAAAAAGGCAGCTTGTTGTTGTTTGCATCCTCTCTGGTGAACTTGATGTTGTTATCGACCGAGTTAATGTGTCTGGTGAACGCTTCTATTTCCTTAGCTTGGATTTTGACCCAAGTGTCATCCACATATCGGAACCAATGGCTTGGCGTTGTTCCCTCATAGGAGTGTAGGGCTCTCTGTTTCACTTCCTTCATGTAGAGATTGGCAACAATGGGTGACACTGGAGATCCCATGGCACAGCCGTGCTTCTGTCTGTAAAAACTGTCATTGAACTTGAAATAAGTGGTGGAGAGGCAGAGATCCAACAGGGTGCAGATCTGGTCTGGGGTGAAGTTTGTCCTGTTGATTAAGTCCTTGTCTTGTAAAAGTTGTTTTCTGACGGTTTCTACTGCTTCAGAGATGGGTATGCAAGTGAAAAGAGAAGTCACATCATACGATACAAGGGTTTCTCCTGGGGTTAGTTTCAACATTTGAAAGCACGGCTGTGCCATGGGATCTCCAGTGTCACCCAAGAAAACTGATTCCAAGCCGGTTTTCACACTTGACGGGAACAGAGGGGTCTCATCTGTGAATTAGAGGAACAAAGACCTACTGTTAAGGTGTTTAGGTGTGAACTGCCAATCTACATATGTGTGTGTGTCTTATCTCACTCAGCCTTATAACCTGAATCTCTCACTCTCTGCTCTTTGAATTGAGAAAGCTCCTCGCATGAGGAGTGAAACGTCTTCTGTTACAAATAAA